TACAAGAAAATAAAAAGCGTGTTAACGGGGGGCGCGATAAAAATTCTCCTTTATGAAGGCAACTTGGCAGTTTATGAAAAATGTTTATTTCTTCGAAGTTTTATCACTTTTATTTTATTTTTTAAGCAAATGTGGGTCAACCACGAAAAACTTCAAGCCTATCCGGCTCGAAGGACCATGTTCGGGACGGGGTGATTTGGGGGCCGGGAATTCCTCTTGAATTCCGCGGCAAACGAGGGTCGAGGAGGTGCCGAATCCCTGAAGTCCTTCGAGGGTTGAATTTAACACACTTAAATTCGCTGAATAAAATTAAATAAAAACACTTCACTTTTTACTCGTATATATGTATATATATATGTAAGCGCCTAACGGCCACTTTATTATATATATATATGTGTATATAAAAAAATGCTGTAACAAAATGGTATATAAAATGATTAATATTAGAGGACCTTACTTGTGGATTGCTCGGAGTTCTCTTCCAAAGTGGCCGAGTGTTGGGCGATCGCAGAAGGCGAAACCTAACATCCGAGGCGGGTAACAGGACTCGAGAAAAAGGAACTCGAGTAACGAGTAGCTGTTCCCGCTTAGATCACAGCGACATCTACAAGTGAAATTCTCTACTTCATAAACATACTTAAGGTGAAGGGGGCTAGCGTAAACAAATATAATAACTGTTGAAAATTAGTTCTAGTTAGTACTCGGTGAAAAAATAAACCGATAGGTATAAATCATTTAGTTGTAGAAGATTTTGTTCAGAGTGAGTTCTTGAATAACTGTTTTCGTCAATTGCTGTTATTTTTGCTCCCTGATTTTCCTTGTAACAGGTCTATTCTGCGCTGGTAATAAAAAGTTTGTAACCGGTAAATAAAGTTCCTGTCAATTTTTAAACCGTTTTCGCATTCTGTATACTCCTGTAACCGGTAAATTTTGTTACCATCTCATAAGCTGGTAACAAATTATTGCCCCGTGAAATATGCAATGCCAGGATTTGCACAATTCTTCATAGCTGAATTGCTGAATATTTTAACTGCATTACCAACGTACCTAGAATCGCGGTGACAAGAACTGGTAACATTTTTTGGTAATACAATTTTCCGGTTACAAAATCTTCGGTAAAGTGCAGAATAGACCTGTAAGTAGTTAAATTCTTTCGTAAAAGAACAGGTCGTAATAAAACAATTTAGTTACCTTTAAATTTCTGCCCTGTTGACGCAAAGTTTACATGTTTCGGCGTTTTTTTGAGTAAATTTAGGGTCCCTACAGTGTTAATACTATTTTTGGAAAATCTGTGGAAATATTTTGAAATTTTGATGTTTTTAAATACAGTGGCTCAAATATGAGGTCGGACTTACAATATTCACATTCATGGGCGTAGCCAGGTAGGGGCAGGGGGGGGCTCGAGCACCCCCCCCNTTTTTACGAGTCTGGGTTGACTTTTCTAAAAAACACCCAAATATATATAAAATAGTACCCTGAAATGCCAGCTTAATAGGGTCGAGCCCCCCCCACCTAAATTTCATTCTGCTTACGCCGATGTTCACATTGCATTTCATGTTAATTTTATTGTTATATTTTTGCTAAATTTATACTTTTTTTAAGTTTGAAGCTTTGAGTTATATCGTTTTGGAAGTTTTCGTCTGGGTAACGCAGGAACAGTTTAGTTGCATACGGGAAAAAACGGGCACTACGGTTAGCGAAACAAATCATGCAAAATCAACGAAAATTTTTCGCCACTTAAAACCTTCACTTATTTTAGAAAAATTTAATGGCATTATAAAAAATCGAAAAATTGTTTAAAACTGAATAAAATATTTGATAACAGTTTTTCTAAATTTTTTAGAAAGTTTGGAACCTACGTACATAATTATATGGATTTTGTTGTTTTCTTCTGTGTAACGCATGAACAAAAATTATTTTAATAATTGAAAATAAAAAATTTACCAATATAACAATTTTACGCTTGATAAAAAATGTTTAAATGTTTGACACTTTGAGTTATTTGTTATTTTTATACAAAAGAAGCGAAAATCATTGGAAATTCTCCGCCACTTAAAATTGACAATTTATGATACTAAAATAAAATGGGTTTTAAAACTACATATGTACACACTGGAAAAATTTTAAAAAATTCGGATAAAAAATTGAAATTTGGATAACTGGTCCAAAAATTCTTTAAAAAGTTTGATTCTTTGAGTTATATGATTCAAAAATTTGACAATTATTATCATTTAGTATTTAGCCTACTGAGATTTTAAAATAATCGCGTAAGCGTACCTAATTCCTTAATTCATACGCAAATACAAATGATAATCTCAGGATCACTGATGTTTTTAATATTCAAATTCGCTGAATATAAACTATACTCAAAAAGGCCTACTGAGATTTTGAAATATTTATGGAAGCGTGCTTAAAGCATAAACAAATATGCAAATTGAAAAAATTCTAACAAAAAAAATTTAATTGCGATACAATTTTTTTTTAATTTTTAATAAGATTGAAACTTTGAGTTATATGTTTTTTTCCTACACTTATTTTTATACGGAAGATACATATTATCAAAAGTCATTGGGGATTACCGCCACCTAAACCCCACACTTTGTAATACCAAAATTTAATGGGGCTTAAAACTGCATACTCGAAAAAATTCGGATAAAAAATTTAAAGTTAAAAAAGGTAAATTTTTTAAATGTTTGAAACTTAATGCTATTTATTTTTGGTTATTTATTCCGTGTAACGCGTGAACAACACTTACTTTATACAAAAAAAAAAAAACCAAATATCGAAAGTCGTTCTGAATTTTCCACTTCCCCTTTTACAAACTCATTTATATATATCTCACTATAAGCAACTAAAATGGATAAAACTTTCCACGCCTCAGGGAAAAGCGAGACATAGAATGTTCGACTTCCATTTTTTGAATATTGAAAATAGTTATCGCATTTGAATGTTTAAAACATCGTTGATGCTAAGAATTGCGTTTCATATTTGTGTTAATATTTTCAAATTTCAGTAGGCCATTTTTGAATATTAAAAATATTTAGCGAATGGATGCTAAAATTTACCCTGCAACCAAAGTTCCCGAAATCTTAACGAAATCTTTAGGAGTATCTCATTTCTCTAACAATTTTTTTACGAATCTTGAAAGAAAATTATATGAAGTGGTTGACACGAACTCGTAAAGAAATATCTGTACAAAAAATAATGAAAATTCTGCAAGAAATTCTTCACATAGCAGCATTATTTTCATTGCTTTACCGATTTTCTTCCGAAATTTCGTAAAAGAATCGAAGTGTGCACAATTTATTTCATTTTAGAAAATTCTGCTCAAAATCGTATGAGATCTTTACGAGCATTGTGGAAGAATACAAGTGAGATATCTTAGGGTTGACAGGGTGTTCAATATGGCGATGACAGTGTGAACAATATGGCAGCCAATATGGCATACAACCCCGATGGCCCGAAGTTGCAAAACTACGACCCGAATGAAACGCTTCGTGAAAATCCAGGGTTGCGAAGTGGTATTTTGTTGGAAAATATAAACGCCAGGATTTTGTGCAGCGCCGAATTTTAACAAAAGAGGGTTTTGTGTTCTCAAGATGAACAGAAAAGGGTTGCTGTGCTGTTTCGTTTTAAGCTTAATTTAATCTAAAGGTATCTAATTAAATATCAAAAGGATACAAAAATTAAAGCAAAAATTTAAAATATATATTTTCACGAGAGACAAATTAAATAAAATGGGTTAACTTTAGGGGAAATATACTTATCAGAATGGGTCAGATAGCGGCTTTACGTTATAAATAAAAATAATTCCTACTTAAATTTTATATAATTTTGGTGACGTATTTCTAAGCTGACCGTGAGATCTGTGAAATAATACATATTTATGTGCATATATTGTGTTGATTATGCTCTAAATCGCTAAATAATTCTTGCAGCAATCAGCACCATTGGAAAGTGAAGTGACAATAGGCTGGTTTTCTTTATACAGCCCGTTTTAAATTCGAATTATTGTTATAATAAATTACAATTATTGTTTGTTTCCATTTCGGTCAACCGCGCAAATTATTTATTAAAAAAATGTCGTTTAAAAATAGCAATTTTGTTTACTTTTGAATAAGACTTTATCGAGTGCGCTATAAAGACAGGGGGATAAATGCTGTAAAGAAATATATGTTGAGTCCAATCGGTTTTTTGCTAATCCGGTTTTTGTGTAGGTATAAACAAGGTATATTAAAAAAATAAATCTCCATGAAAAAATATCGTTATTTTCGTATTTAAAATTAATCGGAATTTTATGGGGGGTTATAAAAACTCGTTTTAATCGAAACATTGTTTTTTCGGCTACATTTGTTATTATTTATTGGCCCATATGTAAATATTGAATGAACTAACATATTTTAAATATTTACGGAACTACCATTTGTATGCAACCCTGCCTATCCTATATTCAAGTAGATGTAATTCGAAAAATTTAAACGGATTTCTTCAAATCAACCTGAGCTGCGGACATATTGCGAATTCATTTTTAAACATTAACCACTACATTATGTTAGTATTAAATACTTTCAATTAAGAAACAATTCTTATTAGAAAATAAATATGAATCGTTTTATTTTAAATATTCCGATGTATATTTTTTGTTAATACAGATAGTGCGGATTTAACGTATTTTATACCCGTTACATGGAGATCATGAATTTAAGGCAGATTGCTATTAACAATTTTTACACAATTTACGATTGCAATCAATTTCTTTCAAAACTATAAAACAGATTCCAATATTAGGTATATTATGGAAATACAATCCAATTTGATTTGAGTTATACGGTTTTAGATACATTTATATATCTGTGTTCGTATGGAATAGTAGTTTATGTCGGGAAGCTGGCTTTAGTGTAATCCGGCATTCCCTTTATTATTTACAACACAAGGAATTTTTTGATGACCCAAGAATATGGACGTGCTAGTATCGGAACTATTTCTTTCACGTTTATTTGCCAAAATTTCTTCAACGGCTCGGCGCCAGTGAGGGTATGCTGCGAATGCCGCATTATACTAAATCCAGCCTTTTGACATAAGCTGCTATTCCATATGAGTGGGGCACGTGCGAAATGCGGATTTTCACAGTTGCAGTACTGCAGTAACTCGACACCTTCCTCACCAACAGCTCTGTCCTCTATGAGCTTCTTAATGTAAATGCAAATAAAAGATGGAAATTTAAGAAAAATTACATCACAGCGTTTCACTTGTAGCGTTTCACTCTTGTAGTTTATTGGCTATCAAGCACCAGAAAATTTCCATCACGCATTCCATATGCCACCGATTGTCGTGGATCAATTAAAATACTGTCATCACAGCTTTTTGGTACTGCAGCAACTGGTGTGTGTGTCTATGGCGGAGTTATGTGGAGCTGTTGCATGACTAAAATCAATTTGGACTCTTTGAGAACTGGCTTGTTTGTTGCGAGAGCTATTGGCATCAAATGTATGCAAATTCGATTTCCAAACGAGCAACTGTTGAATACAGGAAAAAATTTATATTATATGGTTCCGCTAAAGTGTATAAATTGGTCGACCTTCTAATAAATCAAGCAATCTTATTGTATCGTCATCGCCGCCAGTCACCAAGAAATTTCCACTTGGGTGAAATGCAACATCATTCTCCGGCGACGAATGCACTGTATTAGCTCGCCTTCAACTATGTCAAATATCTTAAAGCGGTTACAACTTAATGCTAAAGCCACCAGATTACCGTCTGGATGCCATGCCAGCTGTCGTCTCATACCTCTTCCCGCGGTGAACGTTCGCACACATTCGCCTGAAAATGTATCGCAAATTCTTAAATTGTCATCGCCGCACGATGAAATTAACTTACCATTAGGGCTGAATTTTGCTGCGCGCACCCATTTGTGTGTCCAGTGAAAGATAAGTAATTTGAATCAGTATTTTGATGGCTGTTCGCCATTTTTCTAGTCTGCAAACGAATAAGCTGACGAAGATGAAAACAAATTCAAGCACATTGTTGCATTCTACCGTATTTTTAAAAAGCTTTAAAATCTTAAAACATATGTGAAAAACTTATATAATCTGAATATTTTTAATGTCGCAATCAAAACGAAATTTTGTAAATAGCATTTTTAAAAAGCAATCATTTAATATTTTTCAAGTTTTTGGGCATATATGTTACCATTTGAACATCAAATACTACCAAGTTTTAAGAGATTATTTAATGCAACTCAGGTCAAAAAAGAGCAGTTTAGACCAAAATAAGCAACTCTAAAAAACAGATGATCGCAGCTGCGGCCCAGGATGACGTCTATTGCTAAGATATCTCACTTGTATTTGTACACAATGTTTACGAGTTCTTTAAAATTTCTGTACAATTCAGATTACTGTGAAAAAATGGTTTGCAGGGTAAATTCTTATTTGCGAATGTATTTATGAATCAAGTACGCTTACGTTAATATTTTTAAATCTCAGTAGGCTATTTATGCATGTTGAAAATATTTAGCGAATTTAATATGTAAAATAGCATTGGTGCTAAGATTTCCCTTCAAATTTGCATATGTATTTATGAACCAAGTACGCTTACGTTAATATTTCAAATCTCAGTAGGCCATTTTTAAATATTGAAAATATTTAGCGAATTTCAGTATTTAAAATAGCATTGATGCTAAGATTTACATTCCTTTTATGCGGAAGTAACAAATTATCAAAAATCAACGGGAATTTAGAAAATTTCCACTTTGTGACATTAAAATTTAATGGGCTTATTGGACTGCGTACTCGAAGAATTTCTTAAATTCAGATTAAAAAATATACATACATATTTTACAAAACTTTGTTACATTGTTGTAAATATTTTTTTAGTTTTTAATAAGTTTGAAGGAATGAGTTTTATAGCCGTGGGTAACACAGTGCGGCGCCGCGCCATTACGCTGATACCGAGAGCTGAGTTACTGGCGCCGATACCGATTTTCACAACTCAGTGACGCAATGGCGCCAGCAACACCGGAACACCGACAACACCGGGCGGCGCAAAGAACCAGCAAAGGACACACAAAAGCGAAGTTTCACTTGTAAAATGTGCAGCACCAGGCGAATTAGCAGGCTAAAATTAGCCGCGGTCCTTCTGTGTTTGTTGTATTTTTGGGTTTTGAACGTGGGTATATTTGAGTTGTTTTTGCCCAACCGATACCACCTTGTATTAATTCACCTTAGTTCAACACCGGAACACTGACAACAACGCGTGTCGCAAAGAACCAGCAAAGAACACCCGAAAGTAGGAGTGTCTCTAGTTGCTAGAATTCGTCGCGGTCCTTCTGAATGTGAAAATGATGGGTTTGTTGTATTTTTGGGTTTTGAACTTGGGTATACTTGAGTTTTTTCTCAGCCGATTTCACCTTGTATTAATTCACTTTGGTGCAGCGTACAGCAATAAAGGAAATGAGCTTTAGCCTGAAGAGGCGCAATTGCGCCAACACACTGTGCTGATTCCGACAGTGGCGCTGGAGTTAGTGTGTCAGCGCCAAAAAATTTGCTCCGTTACCCAGGCCTAGAGTTTTATCGTTTGGTTTCTATCAAGAAGTATATTTTTTTGAAAAAATCAGCGAAAAAAGTTTTCATGAAAAGCATTGTGGATAAGGGGAAAACAATGACTGTTCAATCATATTTGTGTCACTGTACATCATCTTTTAAAATATGTCATATTTTTACTAAGCGGGTTTGTTTGAAACTAATTTTTAAAGTTTTGTTGAGCTGAACAGTTTTTGAATAATAAGTTCAGCCTTTTTTTGTATCCAAATTTACAAAAGTAAAGAATAAGATTGAAATTTGATACAAAATTAATTCAGTTATTTCGGTGTTTTCATTACTAACGCTGTCCCTTAGATGTATGTATGAATCAACGCGTAATTCTTTTTGGTGTGTTTTTATGTACAAAAGGCGCTCTGCTTCCACCTTTGCATACATATCAACAGCATACTGTTGAAATAAGTCTTGACATCGGTGTAAATGATTGAAGTAGTTGTCTCTGGCCATACAATTGTAGGCGTAGAAATCCATACATGACACTGTTTTGTTCCCTTGTGTTTGGGGAATTCCAAAGTGATAGCCATCTTCGCCATATACGCATTATAATGGATATTGAAGAGGATCGTATGATCGGTTTTTTCTGTGATTCTTTGTATACTATTGTCGCGAAGTTATATAACGATATCTCTTTTCCCACAATCTTGATTATATTACTATAGCCACTTCATTGCAGGTTGGTATGTTAAGACGATGTTCCCCGGCAAGCCGCTTACCCGCGTGTATCACCAACTTTAAATCAGGTGAATTAGACATTTCCATAGCACATTTGAAGCTTCTAACGTAGTTGTTAGTTATGTGCACCATTTCTTGCAATTGGATTGTAATGCTTCGCTCTATCGCATTTAAATACGTGCAACGCAGTTCGGCTTGGTCGTGCATGTTAATTACAAAATATATTTCCAAAAGCTGTGGTTTTTNATTACAAAATATATTTCCAAAAACTGTGGTTTTTGGTTACCCTCCGGTTGAAGCGATCCAATGCTGTGGTAAACTTGACCTTGTACTTTAAATGTCGGCATAAAACCACCTTCGTAAACAATATTTGCCCAAATGACGTCATATGAAATGCCGAGTTATAGTTTCGAATATGTACATATTAGAAACGCTTTTGATTCGGAAGTGGTCCCTAGCAGTAACGAGTTTAATGGGTTCGGTGGCTCAGCTAGAAGAGGTGGGGATACATTTCCATTTGAGCAACACATGCTAAGGGTTACACCTTTCCACTTCTTCGCTTTACAGTGCTGGCACTCATCCGACATTGGGCCAATATTAGTAAAATCTAATGAAGAGTAACTGATGCTCGCTGAATAATTATATGCCCCGTACTTCAAGTTATTTAAATTAAACGTTCGTTCCATGCGTGCAGAGTTTCTTGCTGCATTGGACTGTCAGCGGGCCTGTCGCTCCCCGTCGTCTTCCTGCTGTCTTCGCGCAGAGTCTCTTGCTGCATTAGACTGCAAGCGGTCTCGGCGTTCTTCCCCAGTTTCTTCAGCTCTTTGACGCTTTTGCCTGATTGCTTTTAATGAATGTGCCAATATATTTCTTCGCCTCGAAGGCATATTCAAGCAACCGTTTGTGAAAATGTTTGAGTAGTTAAGTCAAAATATATACGGAAATCTTTATATCACTGTTCGAGTAAGTCATGTGAAAAATAATAGGTTACCGATTTTTTGACCAGTTATAGATATATATCTTTTGTCTGTTTAACATTTACGCAAGTAGCACACTGGTGTATAAATTGGTGTAAATTTATGGATTTTGGTACAAATCTGATTAGATTGAATAAAAAAGAACGTTTTGATGTATTTGTTATTCCACCAGTATTTCTTTCAAATCAAAACGAAGGTTTAGTACTAAATAAAACGAGTTTTGTTTTTAGATGCAACTTCGCATGTCGCATAACAAAATCTGTCCTGTTCTTTATTGAAATCATCTTATTTATACTCTAACATCTTATGTACTACTTATTTACTACAATACATATTTACTTAAAATTCTTACTAGCTGAATCTCTCGCTTGCACATATGAGCATGCATTCATATGTGCCTAGCTCAAAGCATAGCTCAGTGAAGTCACCAACACACACACAACCATTTCTAATGTGGAGCTACAAGCAATGCATCCACAGACATATCTACATGTACCAAGCGTGAAGGTGCTAGCAGCG